CAGGTATATAATCAACCGATCATTTGGCAAGTTGGTTTCCGTGCGACGTTTCAGCCATTTCTGTGAAAATAGGATGAGCGCCACAACCAGATTACCTTTTCGAGGATAACATTATCAAGCTCCGCCCAGTTTGCACCAAGTACCAGCGGCTCCACAAGCAACCAACGGAACTGATCATCCAGTATCTAGAACATGGTGGAGTATACGTCATTATAGCAAACCTATAAATTGAGGGAAGTTTTATCATCCGAGACAACAGTATCCAATAACATCAGGAAGTGTCATTCAGTGATCATACTGTACAATCGGGGAGAAAACGGCGCTATGAAAAGTAGTCAAGTAAAAACTTGATAATCAAGTGTCCCCCAACGAGATATAACCATTCATCAGTCTAGCACACGGAACCCAACTGAAAAAAGCGTCATGCCGGTTGACTGAAGGACGCTTTCAGCCTACTCCGCGCATATCTCCCATTGGGCGTGCTAACATGGCCGATTAACATTTAATGCTCCCGTAACCCATACTGACCTCCGTTCGATCAGATTATTGCAGGTGAAGAATAACCCCTTCCGAAAATCCCTAGAACCAAGTCCCATCGATAAACATGACGTTGATCTACTCAGACACTACTAATCTTGCGGACTCCTGAGCGAAACTAGCACCTGCATTGGAAACGCAATTACCGGCAGAGGAAGTAAATATTTAGTAGAAATTGCTTTCCGGCTTGTTCCTCTCTAAGTGTGAATGAGGACGCACAACGCCTAAGCGTACGGGTGAACTACCGCTGGCTTGCACAAACAGCATCACCATCACACACGCTTTAGCTATAGATAAGAAACAGTTTAGCTAGTGCATTCGAATAAAATCCAGTTGCATAGTCGCATTTTAGGAGAGCCGTTTATAGAAATAGCTCAAGCATGGTTCCGAACCGCTTGCTTCAAAACGGTTGCTTTCAAACTGTTGGTGTTATTTTGGTTATCCTATCTTTTTGTATTGGAGCACATTAACTGAGGCGTGTTTCTCACCCTCAGCTAATGCGTGTTAATGATGATGTTGATGCAAACTTGCTCCCGTCAACTCTCTTGGGCTCCGCATACTCATACCCGACTGCTCGCCGTACTCTCGTTGCCACGGCAATTTCCGTCGCTAATTCGAACAGGTAACAACACCTTTGAACTAAACACGATGTTCGCCATCACCGTGAAACATTTCCGTCGCCTCCTGGAAGGACGACGTTTCATTATCTTGACAGATCACAAACCTCTGATGTATACCTTTCGCTCTTCTTCCGAACGTTACTCACCGACGGAAACACAAAATCTAGGCTACCTCTCACAGCTCTGTGTCGAGGTCCGTTAAATCGACGGCCCTAGCAACACGGTTGCTGGTGCACTATCGCGTGGTCATTTGCGCCAACTGTCAACGGCACCCATCGACCTGGGGAAATTATCCGCCGCTTAAGGCAATGATTTGGAACTTGTCCAGCTTCATTCAAGGGCCTCATTAAAATTCTTGTGTTTACTGTGCTTGATCCCGATACAATAGTATATTGCGATATTTCAACTGGTAAGCCCAATCTCTTTGTTCCAGTCATTCCATCGAACCATTTTCGATCATCTGCACGGGCTATCACATCCAAGTATCCGAACTGCTGTGAAGCTCATTACCGACCGATTCATTTGGCACAATATGCGTTCTGATATCCAACAGTGGACTAAACATTGTCTTAGTTGTCAGACTAGCAAAGTGTATCGTCATACTATCACTACTCCGAGCAAGTTTTCACATCCCGATACACGTTTCAGGCACTTTCAGGTGGATAGAGTTGGCCCAACGGTTTCACTTATCTGTTGACATGTGTTAACCGTTTTACCCGTTGGTCACACGCTGTTCCTCTGCGTGACACGTCTACCGAGTCTATTGTCCGTGCCACGAATCGTGGATTTCCAAGTTTGGTGTTCTAGCCATCAGCATTACCGACGGCGGAAATCAATTCAATTCCACAGTGTTATGTGATCTGAGTAGTTTGCTAGGTTGTGCTCACATACGAATAACTGCCTACCATCCCGCCGCCAATGGCCTCGTCCAGCGTTTTCGTTGACAGTTGAAAGCCGCCATTTTGGTTAGTTCACCTGATTCAGGTTAGTCTGAGCGCCTCCCTACCATCCTTTTTGGCATTCACAATTCCATTAAAGTGGATATTGGGTGCTGCCCTGCAGAAATCATATTCAGCACGACGCTCAGACTAACCGGTGAAATGGTATTCGACTCTCGCGTCACCGGAGAACTAGACCCCACGCCCTATGCTGAACGCTTCAAATAGCATTTCCGATCCATTCGACCAACTTCTACACGACCGAACGTAAGTAAATAGCAAATTCATTCCGATTTGCACAACTGTCCGTCTGTCTTTATCCGCGTCGACGCTGTCCGAAGAGTTTTGTCTCCGCCTTACTAAGACCCATACAAAGTTTTATTTCGGAAACCAAAGTACTTCATTGTGAACAAAAGTGGATGAAAAGAATCATCATCATCAGTAAGTAGTGATCGCCTTAAACCTGCTTACGTTGAACCAGCGGTTGACAACACCGACCCTTTTTCATGCCCTCAGAGCACCCCATTTCTAACTCCTTACTCCCTCCTAACCAACTTGCAGACGGCAATGCTTCGAATCCTCTGTGCCCTCCAGCCACGAGAAGTTCTATACACACGTTCCCGTCGTGCTGTTTAGCTTCCTTACAAGTTTGCTCAATACCTTCCGTATTTCTCGTGTCGAGCGTTCTCAACAATGCGCGCTCTAGTGGGGGATTACTGTCCACGACGTGCGTTGTTTGCTCACCGGGGATGCGGATGGAAGAAGAGGAGAGGTGGCCAAGCGATGACTTGGTCGAGAGGAATGAACGCCCTCACTTCGCAGCTGGCCTCGGTTGGAGCGTCAAGGCTCTCTGGTTGGGGTCCAAAAGACGGTGAACACGTTTGGCTGGATACACTTGGTGACATAGCAAGCAGTCGACCTCAGTGGCGTTCGTGTTGTTTCTTTGTCCCTCCCCATCCCTTTTAGCCTCCCCCTCCACCTACGATCTCATTTCGTAGCGTAAAACGCAATAATTTTTCTTTTTGCCTAGTAGCCGGCTGGTAGAATACCGGAACGATGCCTATCCGTGGCTGGTAGCTCAGCTAGCATGTAACTGTTGTATTTATTTTCCTTTTCATCTATGTATTGCGGCACAGTAGCTGAGGTGTTTCCCACCTCTAGCTGACGTGTATAATGATAATGATGGGGGATTACTGTAGCGATTGCTAAGAATTTGCTTATTTTTTAAGCCTACGCTTTCATATTTCCCTGCCGCACATGTACATCTTGTTTTAACTAACCACTGATATACACAACTTCTCAAAGCCTATCTTCGCGTGGTTCTGCTTTGCTTGCTGCCAGTTGCTGTGAATTGTACGCTCGGCTGTCTGACTGATCCGCTGTCGGAATATACGTGCGAATACCTCGGCATTTTACGTGCACAGTTTTTTGTCCGACGCTGATAGAACTAGTTTTTTATGTGAGGTAAAGATGTTCATTGACTGACTTGGTATCCTTATTTTATGGCTCCATAAAATTGTCTTGGCCAACCACAAACGAAAAGTGGGGATCACATTCTGACACTCATGTGACATCCGAGATTTGATAATCTGACCAATATCGGGAAAGCACTTTGAACCGTTTAATTAATTGATCCTTTGTACAGTAATCTAACCTATTCCAACTTAGCGTCTATTACTGTAACGATCTGATGATGAATTAATCGAAAACAGTTGTTTGTCGAAGGCTTACCGATCATTTTTCCTCTGTGTGATTCACAAAAATGAATGTGTTCTGTAAACATGATGTAAGTACACAAAGTGTGACGAACTGAGACAGAAGTGGGTGATAGAAGAAAACATTAAGAGTTGGATTTGCTTAGACATAACGACTAAAAGCTCAGGTCCCCGGGAATGGCATAACTATGTGGCGATTACTTCACTCACTTTGTAATTTGTTTTCAACTCGTAAGCTAGGCCCTCAGGACCAAAATCTTTATCCATTAAACAACAGGCCTGAACAGTTTCGCTTAACGGTAAGGCCAGTAAACTAGAAGCACCGGAGTATGATCTTGAATCAGCGTCCGAAGGTTGCAACGAAAGGCAAAAAGTCTTCCATCTACTCTCCTGCAATCACAGTTCACCGGTCAGTCATTCCATGTAATACTTACGTATTTGTACTGAAAACGAAGTAACTCCGACAATTGTGTGACACTTTCAAAAAGCAATTTTAGCCTAGGATCAATGGACAGTGAACTGTGAAAAAGTCTAAATGACAGGTAACGTAATGCTAAATACCTCGAAAAACTCTGCAGACGGTTGGCAAAGTCAGTGACGTTATCAACATTTACATTATCCAGTTTCTCCGTTAATTGACAATAAGAGAGTACCTGATGTTAAAGAGGTTTAATGTTATGCAAAGAAACAACATGACCATGGAATGTTCTATACGACCATTGGCACTAAGAGAAGATAATCAATGACTGCAAGTCTAAACACAGGACATACGTGAGGAGACTCTGCAACAAGGCCCACTGTCGCGTTTTTCTAAGGAAATTTGCAAAATGTGAAAACGCGATATCATTGCCAAGCAGAAGCCGTTCAAAAAGTTCAGGCTTCAGTACGGCTTGGAAGTATCTCAATATCTGTGGAATGCGTTGTATACAGACTTGCTGGTTCGAGTACCTGAACAACGACTTTGCCATTGTGTGAATCACAGGCCGAAGTTAAAAGAAAGACTTTTGATTCGAAAGAAATAAAGGCATCTAATGGCCATGGACCCATTACGCCCATGGAGAAATCGTTTACAGCTGCTTTCATGGCGCTTTCCCAACAATACTGTGAGAACAAAGGTAATAACAAACGTATACATACCTCAGAACAGAAGTGAATGTTCCGCTCGTGCAGAGCTGCGTTTCTAATCACGCTATGGCAAACTCCACAAACGAGTGGCTCATGGTCTGCACATATTTGAACGTGTAAACATAGCTACCTGAATCTATGGCATCAGCCACGGGGTCCCTATATGCAAATATTGTCGAATAGCAACCACTATAAAATTTACCAACTGACGGCCAGTGGAGTTGGCGGAAGAGTTTGTTCCGACTGATCCCAATCAAAAGGTCGTACGTCACTATCGTCCCAAGATGCATCGTCGTACATACCAGGCTAAAAAAGACTGACAACCTCGACCATCTGAGATGCACATAATTAAACATTCACAATAGCCTCTAAAATGCAAGAGATCTCAAGCCGTTGAGCGCTTGTTCATTGCCTAACTTGCAGTGCTAGTTGCGAGAATATATATATGCAATCTCAAGTTGAACCGTACTTTACCGCATGGCGAAGTTCGACAAGTCTGATCCCTGGGTCCGTGCCTGAAGGTATAAAGGTATCAGCAGTACGCCGGTACGCAGTACCGACGCTTCGCTGCCGCGTAAAAACCAGCAGTTGGGCGTGGGCTACGGATACTGCGAGGGTCGCCCGGTCCCTAGGCAGACTCGAACATGCGCCCGCTGAAGTACAAGACAGGCTTGTGATCCTTTAGACCTCGACCTGGTCGTGTCTGAAGCTGATAAATGGCAAAGTCGCCGTCTCTCAACACGGCACTCGGCGACCAGTTTAGTCTTCGTTCGGACGTTTCAGGTGAAGATAGCTACCTTGAAACTCACAGCTAGGACGTGAAGATAGTAGGTAGTGCTTTCATTAGTACATCACAACTCTGTGAGCAACGTTAATCAAAAAATTGTCCGCTGATCGAGGTCTATTCCAAAATTAATTGTGATGAAGATTAAGACCGCGAATAGCAATCCACTCAGTTCAGTTCAGTTGATCAATTATGATTCGAGCACCGGAGTGCGGTGGAGCTTGTTGCAACGACTCACATCGCAAGGATGACAATAAATAACAACGGCAAGATAGTGGGGTTAAAGGCAAATGGAATGTCAAGAAAATGGAAGCAAGAAGGAAGTGCGTTAAACTAATCAAAATGGAACGCAAATTAAGTACTAGATGCAAGAACGCCACTGACTGCGTGACTGCACCATGTCAGATACGGTCTCGAACCATTGGTGTAGACCATCCCGAGGCCCCATCTACGAAGACGGCACGTACCCACCTGAGCAAGTCTCTCAGTTAGTTTCCTCATGTCTCTGCCATGTCATGGACTGGTCCCCTCGCGGTTTCACACAAATTGGTGCAGCCACGGCGTATAAATCACGATGAGGAAGCCGATCAACGGGCATACGGATGACATGGCCTAGCCATTGTAAACTACTAAGATTCCGCAAACACTCCAGTGACGCTCCAGAAGGCTTCGTGTCAAAAACGAACTGGCGGACCTCAGCATTGCTCACCCGGTGTTCCCACCAACGTGAGCAATACTCCTCAAGCACCGGTGGTTAAACACAACCAAGCGTTTAATATCTTCACTACAAACTGGACAGGTCTCCGATTCATACAGTAACACAGGCCTTATCGCAGCGTTATACACCCTACCTTTCACTAGAAACCTGATACCCCGCCGTCCTCACATATGGTTGAGCCTCTAAAAAGCCACATGCACCTTGCTTACACGCGAAGTAATCTCTTCAGTGGTGTAACCACCAGTGATACAACTTCCAAGGTAAGTGAACCGATTCGGAAATGGCTAAAATCGGAGGTGTGTCAGTCTAGTCCTGCAGCAGAACTTTGCACTTTGAAGGTGCAAAGCACATGCCGAAGCGTGCAGCGCTACGCGTCAGTTTATTCAACAGTGTTTGTATAGCCACTGCCTTGAACTCAAGAAGAGCTATGTCGTCCGCATACTCCAGGTTTTTCGGACAGTCACTTGGTACAACTTACACTCCGGTAGTCTGAAAGAACGGATTCACTCATGATCATTTGACAACAATGTTGAAGAGAAAAGGAGATATAGGACAACCTTGGCGAACCCACTTGTCGTGATAAACTCATAAGACAGTTTCCCGGCGTCGGGAGTCACGGTACAGAGATTTAAGAATGAAAAGGAATTTAACCGGCACGCACTTCATGGATAGGCAGTGCCACAAGCTGGCGCGGTCAACAGAGTCGAAGGCAGCTTTCAAGTCAAGGAAAACCACCGTTGTCAGTCGTCTGTATGTGTGTCCCTGTTCTGACACTTGGCGAAGAGTAAATATGTAGTCGATGTAACCACAACCAGGGCGGAAGCCAGCATGGCTTTCAGTGATTCAGTCCTCATGAGGACCATTAAGTCGTCGGAGAATGATACCCGTAAGGAGTTTGGATGCAATGAAAACAAGGCTGATGCCTCCACGATTGTCGCACAAAGTACGCTGACCCTTCTTGAATATGGAGATGACAGTTGATAGTCGCCATTCTAAAGGAACCTTTTCACTGTTACAAATGGTGATAAGTAAAATAACGAGTCCAGTCAACAAAGGGTCACCAACATCTTTCAACGAAGATGAAGGTTGTCGGGTCCAGGAGCTTTGTTTCGTTTTAACACGGCGAGCTCATGTTGAATCTCTTCCAAAGTGGGAGGTGTCACATCTGCTACCCAGGACGGCTCGGGCGATTCGGAGCAACCCACTCACAAAATAGATAGTCAAAACAAACTAACAATGAGTCCCTAGTCGTCGTGATGTGTCGCTCGCATAGCTAGGTGGTGTAACGGTAAAGACGTACACCAGCAATTACTACGGCCGGCGTTCGGACCCCAACTCAGCTACTTCCACCTAAAGAGCTCAATCAGTGACGAAATCGGTTGTGGGTAACAGCGTTGGGAACCGATCGAACATGTGACTGCTCCACCGCTGGCCAGTCAGGTTGTTCAGGTAACAAGGTGCGGCTAAGTAATCAAGTGCGGCCGAAGTAGGAAAGGTGAAGCGGATAAATCAACAATAAAAACGGTTACGAAAAAATTGAAATGTTCGGAAATTAGAGTAAGCAATAAGAGTACATGCATAAACGACACCAATCTCACGGCTAGACCTTGTCTTAAAAGGTCTCTGACCACTGGTATTACTCAGCACAAAGTAAAAATAACAAAAGACATCGCCGGTGCAACTGAATCGCTATATACGTCTCGCCATATCATCGATCGGCGGCTCTGAGGCATCGCTTAAGCGAGCACAACGTTAGAAAACAACACACGCCAGCGTAAGCCGATAACAGCAACATCTCGTGCAATATTAAAGTAATAACTGATGTTCTGGTTTTCGTTTGTTCTCCGAGCTGAGCGACTGTGCTGCAGGCTCTTCGTCACCAGCCGAGGTGACATGCTCAGTGCCTCACTGCTTAGCGTACAAGCTCGTTGAGTGCGTCGTCGGCATTTGATCGATGGGGAAGTGATGTTTGAAATTGGTCTCTTCGCCTCACATCATGTGACCTTCGATGGTTTGTTGTTCGGCCGCCGCTACTTTTTGCCATTTGTTAGGTTTTCTGATCCGTCCAATACTTTTCTTCCTCAATGGTTGGTACACTGGGTCTAGGTCTATGCATAGGTTTATGGAGTGTTCTGTGGTAAACCACGCTTCAAGGATTTCACTGCATTTTCTCGTTTCTCCCCGCGCGAAAATTTCGGTTTTGTCCCAACCAAACCTGTGCCTCTCCTCATCAACATGTGCCGAAACCAGAGATGATGCGTAGTGGTTACGGCAAGCTCGCTTGTGCTCTTGTATTGCTGTAACCAATTTCTTCTCTGTTTGGCCCACATCGTTCTTTTCGCAGTGTTTGCATTGTATGCTGTGAACAACAGTATTGCGTTCGTGCATCTTCAATTTATATTTCGCTTTAGACAAGGTCCCCTTAAGTGGTGGCGGTTGGTATGTGGGCAACCATCAGATGATCCGGTTTGAGAAATCTGGCCGTCATTTCTGATATGTTTTTGACATAAGGCGAAGCGATCCGTTTCTTCGTTGTTGGTTCAGGCGTGGTATTTTCAGCCCAGCAGTTCAAGTGTCTTCGGATGAGACTGCGCGGATATCCATTGCACATGGACGTAAACAAATGTTACGTGAAACGCCGTTTGAAGCCAAAAGGTAACGTATCATGTCTGGAAGACGCGGACGGACACCTGCTAACTTCCAGTTCCGATCGCGCGTCCGCACTGGCCGCTCACTTCGCTTCCGTCTTTGCAAACGACGCTGCGTCCATACCCATCTCAGCGAGTAACGTTCCTGTAGAACTCAACAGTGGTTTGTGATGTCGACGAGGTGCGCCTGCTACTTGCGAATCTTGACGGTACCAAGCCTGCAGGGCCTGACGGGCTTCATCTGCTAATCATCAAATCACTAGTTGCCATTATCTCGCCTGCTGTTACGGATCTATTCAACAAATCATTGTATGAGGGCTCATTGCCAAACGACTGGAAGCGCTCGGTGGTGAGGCCGATCCCGAAAAGTGGCGACCCCAGTAAGGTGGATAACTACAGGCCAATTTGTCTTACACCCGTTTTGGCCAAAGTGATCGAGAAGATAGTAAAAAAGCGTTTAATACATCTGTTGCAATCGAAGGAACTTCTGACACCGGCACAACACGGATTCAGGATGGGATATTCTTGTGTTACCAACTTACTTGTGACGAGACAGGAATGGTTGCAAGCACTGAACCGGGGAAAGTCCGTCGACGTAATCTACATCGACTTCAGCAAAGCATTCGACAAAGTTAATGAAGTGCTTCTAGACAGATTAAGGTCGTGTGGTGTCGGAGGATCGTTACATCGATGGATCCATGAATTTCTCGTTGGAAGAAAGTGGAGGGTACAGGTGGACGGCCATCTAACCGATTGGTATCCCTCGACCAGTGGTGTACCTCAAGGTACGGTACTGGGACTCACTCTGTTTCTCATCCACATCAACGAGCTGCCCCAGCTTCTACGGTCGCCGTGTGCACTGTTTGCGGATGACCTCAAAATTTGGCGAGAAACTAATACTCTCGATGACTGTGACATTCTCCAACAAGACCTCGACCGCCTCGCAGTATGGTCTGCTGAAGTCCACCTACCGGTCAACCCGGCAAAGTCCCTATTCATGAATCTCGGGAAGGCTGTTCACGGCCGAATGTACACCCTAGACGGCCAACCACTGCATCCCACACCTTCCGTGAAAGACCTAGGTGTACTCTCACGCTGCGACTTGAAGTCCGTCGACAACACCAACAAACTGTATCGAAACGGACTGCGCATGCTCTGGGCGCTGAAGCGCAGCTTCTGCACTTGGTCTGAGGACGTCGCCATTCGCATCTTCTCTTCCATCGTCAGACCAATGCTAGAGTACGGCTCGCCTGCATACTGTCCGATCACTCGCGGCGAAGCGCAAAAGATCGAACGAGTACAACACGTCGCCACCATGTTGATCCCCAGCTTGAGAGGCTTATCGTATGAAAACCGGTGCATGAAACTTGGGCTCCACACCTTGTCGTATCGCCGTGTTCGAGTGGATCTTATCATGACCTACCGTAATTTACATCTCGGTCACTCCCCCATGCTGAGGTCGTTACTCCACTTGCGAGTACCATGCACCACACGTGGGCACAGGTACAAACTCGTGGTACCTGACCTGAAGAAAACCCCACACCCCCTGTGTTTCGAGCGGAGGGTTGTGCACGCCTGGAACAGTCTGCCAGAACACGTCGTCGAGGCCGAATCTGTGCAGAAATTCAAATATTTGTTGGATTTACACTTCGCTAACATACGTTTCAGAGAACGGTTGCCACTTGACAACGATATCACCCAATTGTGACTCACTGTGTAAACAAGCATTTTGTGTGCTACAAAAGGAGTTGCTGAACCATCTCAGGATAACAACCGGACGTGTTTATTTTTTTTAAATGTTTTTGATTATCACCCGGTGGAGTTGTACAGAATTATTTTCTACTTGCTCCAAAAAATACAGTATTCTTCCTCTTGCTTTGCTTCCTCAGTATTGCAGTGTGACTCAATCCTGCGGAATAGGGTCCGTATGAAGCTTATCTTGATGTTAAAATCGAGGATTTGGTCGGTGTGAATGCTCTTCCTGTAAAGTGATGTTTGTATTTCTCCCTCTATTGTCCTGGTAACAAGCACGTCCAAGAAAGGTAGTTGCTTTTCCATTTCTGACTCCATGGTAAAACAAACGCCGTCCATTGCATTGCTCAACAAGTATTGCGCCGTCTGTAGCTGACTGCGTTTGAGTAGCACGAGTATCAGCAATATATCGGACCCAAATTTCGGGCTGATACTTGGGAGCAGGTTCTCTTCTAACTTATGCATGATGATCTCCGTGACGAGCCCAGATGTAGGGGATCTCATTAGGGCGCCTTTCACGTGTTCATAGAAGACTCCACTGAAGTTAAAGTAGGTTGAGGCACAAGTCGAGAAGCTTGCATACACTATCGGTTGTTAAACTCCCAATTGTTAGTCCGCTGTCCTGCAGGTGTTCTCTGAAGCATTCCTTTGCCACTTTTAAGTTGGCAGAGGTGAACAGTGCAGTAACGTCGAACGATACCATTATTTCCCCATGACCGATTCGTAATCCTTTGAGCTTCTCTAAAAATTGCTGTGCAACGTTGATCAAATATTGCAATCCACTAATTAAATGTTTAAGGCGCCTCCACAATTATTTAACTAAGTTGTATGTGGGTGCACCAGGAAGGGACACGATTGGCCGTAGTGGTGCACCATCCTTGTGTACCTTCGGAAGGTCGCAGAATTGTGCGATGTTCGAGTCATGAGCCTTCATTCTGTCGCGTTCCTCCTTTGTGAGTTGATTCAGATCCCAAGTCTTTTTAGTGTCTTATTTATCTTATTTGTTAATTGTAATGTTGAATCGTTCTCCATGCGGCGGTGTTGTTGTGTAATCCAAGAGTTTCCTTGCTTTTTCAATGTAATCCTTTTTATCCGTACGTTCTTTGCCCGCAAGCAGGATCACGATAGTTTCATCAGCCTTCAGGGATTTTACTGCGTTCTTCTCTTCCTTTGACAAACAATTTTGTTGCTTGTTGTGCGTTAGGATTGGAACGACGGCCTACCTTAATTGTGTTTCCGTCTCTTCGTCAAAACCGTTGGATTGTAATTACTTTCGAATCCAACGAGAAGTTCTATCGGTTTAGCGCCTTTGTAGTTATAGCTTAGCCCTTTGATGAGAACCTGTCGTTTAGCATTGCTAA